CGTTCAAATTGGACCGATCACCAGGATGTTGGAAGAATGGCCGGTTAATTTGCTGGCTGCACAGTCTAGTCCTCTAGGTCGCAACGTTTTCTGGGGTCACTCCAGGGTCCCGGTCGTAGCGCTGGTGGTGGGTGCGTGAACCCGGTATTATTCGGCATTTTGCCGTTGGTCATGGGCGTGCGGCACGTCTCCAAATCTGTCGAGAGTCTCCTGGTAGCTCCTCGCATCTTTTCCCCTCATGGAGCTGGGGTAAATTGGGGAACCATGTCTGCTCATGGTGTGGCTCGCTGAAATACCATCGCCTCTGCTGCTCTGTTACCATGGTCTGTTATCGCTTGCTTTTCAAGCTGCAAGTTTCTGCTGCGACCTATTACCGGCATTCGATACAACTTCAGTGTGACAGGAAGGTTATTTAGCCTCCGTCTTGCTGTATTCAAGATTGTCCCTTGAAACCTTCCGCAGAGCTTTCGCTCTACTAGCATCATGCTCGTCACTCAACCCATTCGTCCACGGCCGATCAAGACTCGGTCGAGAGCAGGTTCGTACGATGCTTCTATCACGACAGCCTCGGATCCAGAATTTCTGACATGGACATCGTTGTTATGACAGGGTGCAAATACTGGTGAGTTCATGTCCGAGCTTCACTTTCATCTAATGTTGTGATCGTGAAGAGTAATCAAGGTGCTAACCACGCTTTCTAGCCGTGACAAGGTTGGTCATCTTGACCCATCTTGGATCTGAATCTTTGACCAATACCTCTCTAGAGAAAAAAGTGCTCAGAAGAACGTCCACAATGTCTTCGTTGTGTGCAGGCCGGTATAGTCTGTGTCTACGAGCCTATAAAGAAGAGGAAGAGAAGAACTTCGACCCGGCCAGTTGACACTCAAGACTCTATGGCGTCAGACGACTCAAGTAGCCCGACGGGCGGCAACACGGATTTCCAGACAAGCCCAGATACGAATATTGTCACTCCACCCGATGTCTTACAACTAGGTGTAGAAGAAACTTTGTCCCCAACTTCAGCCGTAGAAAGCAGTTATTCTACTTCGATAAATTCGGCATTTGCATCATCCGAAGACCTCGACGACACAGGCAGCTATGATTTCGGCTATGATGACTCACAACATTTTGAGGACGGGTTCGAGTTGATGGGGGATCTGGGTTGTCAGAAAGCAGCTGGAGCCCACCTCCCGCTCTCTCTTGCGACTTTAGACCAGAGTTATCAGCAGCCAACAGATGATTCCTTTTTCAGCGCCAGTTTCGACGTATCTTGGAATGAGCAATCATGGTCAACTGCATCCCCGCCCTTGCTGGACCTGCTCCCGCCGACCGGTCGTAACATCTTTGATTTACCAGAGAATACCGGCTTGTTAGACCACTACTCCAAGGTCATGCTCCCGACAATGGGGTTTGTAGATGGTGTCGCAAACCCTTTCAGGCGACATATACTTCCCCTTTCGCATAGGAGTTCCGCCGTTCGAAGTGCGATCTACGCGTTGGCCAGCGCACATCGTGAATATAGCGGTCTTGAGACGACGGAGGGATCTGTATGTTTTCATGAAAGAGCCGTGGCTGGTCTGTCTGCGATTATCGAGGATGGAGATGGGTTCGAAGAAGCTCTGGCGACGATCATCTTACTCATTCAGTACGATCTGGTAAGAGAAGTCATGACAGCGGATTGAACTTGACGCATCGACTGACTGGTGGGGTAGGTTCTACAGCGGAGCTCGGACAAAGTGGTGTATAATCATCTTCAAGGCGCCCGCCACATCATTTGTGCCATGCCATCCCCCAAGCCTGCGAGTGTGTTGTTCTTCGACCAGGTAAGCTACCTAGCGTTGCGGAAGTCTGATTGAAGGGATCTTTGACATGGGACAGGTGTTTCGCTACTTTGATGTACTCAATGCCTTGACGAACGGCACGTCTCCTGTCTTCGCAGCTCCCTCAAGTCGAGCCTACTCGCCAAGTACACCGCCACAATTCATCATCCCTGGTGGAATCGATCCAGTATTGGGAATGGCCGATGATCTTTGGCCCACTCTGCACCGTCTCGCAGAGCTCATGGCGATGAAATGCGAGCTTCAAGCCGCCACAGCGATGGGACAAACATCTAAGTTCGCCGTCCTGCGTACCGAATACCAAACGGCATACAAGGCAATAGAGAAGGCCCTGGAGTCGTGGGGTCCGACACTGCCACCAGGCTTTTCCCTGGTTAACCGTATCGTCGACGGCCCCGAAACCGCATCAGAAGTCGAGCTTGCCAACATCCGGTGGATCACAAGCACGGCACTCGCATACAGACAGAGCGCCCTGGCCTTTCTTTACAGCAACGTTTCGGAGTACCCTTCATCACATCGCCTCGTACAGAAACACAGTCAGGCCGCTTTGTGGCACTGTGCGGCGTCAGTGTCTCATGGAGGAGCAGGACTTTCCATGCTGTGGCCGCTCTTCTTCTCTGCTCGTCATGCCATATGCAGCAGGGACCGAGGCTTGGTGCGTCAGGCGTTCACTGCCTTTGGCAGCAAGAAAGGTGTGGTCGACACGGAAAAGCCGTGGGCTGTTGTCATGGACGTGTGGAGAAGGATAGACATGCGAGCATACGGCAAAGAGCAAGTGGGTTCTGAGGCCTGTCCAGACTTGTGGAGGCAAGTTGCGGCAAGCATGAAGTTTGGCCTTGTGTTTGGCTGAATGGAAGTGACTTCATTCGTACGAAAGTCGGCCCGGTGATTTGGGGACGGAGACGGAGACGGACAAGTCTGGGGAGACCCCAGTTCATGACCTTTTCCGGGGCCCTTGTTTTGATAGCTTCGCGGCAAGACGGTCGTTCAAGAAGGCAACATATGTTTTGATAAATGGGGTTGAACACCGGGCCAAAGGAATACGACCAGCCAACAAAAGGAGTCACATTAGCAGTTGAACATACCACGATCGTTTCTTCTGACTTAGACTCGGTTGCACCCGCAGAACAAAAACGAGTAAATTTCGCATCATGGACTGTTCATCAGCGCTCTGCACTAGCGTTTCTGGCGGAGCCCAACATCCACATCGTCGAGCAAGCTAATGCAGCTCATGATTGCATCCGCTCGTCCACAGGACCAGCAACTCCTTCAGGTGAGTCGACGTGGCTCGACCAATGCCAAACACCACTTTCATGATTGTCCGCCAACCAACGTTGGAGAACAGGGAGCCGCAGGGTACATTTCGACCTTGGTACAGGGTTCTTTTCAGCCTGATTGCCCCTCCGCAGATCTAGGGGACCGGGGGCGGCACAGAGGCGAGCGAAGCTACTTAACAGCTACAGTAACAACGCAGGCGCCTGAGCCTAAAAATTGTAAAGGTAGGTATGGTGTCACCTTAGGTAGCCAGCTGCTGTTTGCTTCCAACGCCGAGACGTTGCGGCAGACTGGGGCGAGATATCTGCATCTGCGAGTGTTTACCGATCTGGGCCTGCAAGCCCTTTAGAGGCGCAGACGTCCTTTCGTTTGATTTTGGCGCACCCTCCATCACATGAAGCCATGCGTGCTGGCTACGCGTTGTAACCTTAGAACGCGGTGCAAATACCGGAAGCGGTATTTAGCCTGCGAGTTTTCGTTTTCGAAACCGAGTAGCGTGACTGTGAGGGTTCTACCCTTTTGGAGTAAAGGGTGAGGGGAAGAGAGATGAGGGAAGACGGTCAAGTCACATCTCTCGCTCACCCTTCCTCGCTTCTTGGGTTTAAATTGCAATCGATGCAGACTCTCTGGGTAGGGCTGAGCGCTTACGCGGTGTCTAAGATTGAATTAACGCCCAGATGTGCGGACAGTGTCATGGGTCGCAGAGATGCTTTTGGGATTGAGGATCAACTGTCAATCCGACCTGATGGGTTCGTTTGCTCCGCGTCCTATGAAGAGCAAATGATCCTCGGGAAGTCGTCGCACGCCGCGCACACCGGCCGTTCGTTTTTGTCATATCTCAGCTCAGCATTAGACGGCACAACAGTCGGTGACACCAGTGCATGCGAACAGAAGTACCCAAGCCAACCAGCCGCGCCGGTCTAACCTCCCAGAGCTTGACCTGAGGCTGGACACGCATTTGGGGCGTCATGTGATGGATGCAAACTCGGGCTCGATTTGCGAGCAGGTGGGAGGGCTCTGGCCTACTGACTTGTGCTGACTATGTGGACTTCATGTTGTGTGAATGCCTGGTAGACGGGCGGCCTAGACGTGCGTTTGCTTCTGCACCACCCCACATGGCTGCCGGATCCCGGCCGTTGGTGTTATTTCTCCAACTGTGCGAGACCAGCGGGCGGGGAAACTGGATGTCCTGTTCTCCTAACGAGTGAGGGGTGTTCGATCCAGGATAGAGGGTTAGTATTGCACTCCTCCCTGCGCCATAGCACGTGGCGCAACTTGGAAGTCAGAAAGACTGGGAGTATGGGGATCCTGCATGTCTAAGGAGAAGCACGATCTCTCCGGATGTCTACTGGGCAGAAGATTTGCTCGTGGTTGAAGAGTGAAGAAGGGCAGGAATTGTGTGGCGCTTCTCTCAGTTGCGTGGCCTACTTCCAGCGAGCGGGTTTGCAGGACGATGATTCGATGAAATCTGGGACTGTGTGGACTGCTCCGTGGTTGGCTCGGCTCCAATGTCCTCTTGCTTCCATCAGCCACATGTCGGAGGAAGTACCGGATAGTTTGCTAGGGCCGGTGGGGCCGGGGCCGGGGCCGGGCCGGAAACTGGAATAGGCAGCTTCCCGCTATAGTTGGATATTGAAGGGCAGCTTGGGGATTTCACTTGAGTCGAATGGCAGTTTCATGAACATGATCTTCACATTCGTTTGTTCCCTAGTACTCTCTGTTCAATGTCTTGAAACTTCATCGTTCGACTGGGAAGTTTGAACCTCTAGATGGAACTCAGGCCAACAAGTTTCTTGGGAAGCAACAATTTTGGTATTTTGTGGCTGGACTCAAATAGCATTTCCTGCTTCATTTCATTGATCAAAATGGGTCTGAATATGTAAGGACTTATTTCCAAGATGAAGTCTGGGTGTCCAACCAAGGCACCATAACATCCACGACGCCCTGCAAGTTCTCAGGGAACAGCGCGTGAGAAGCATCTTCAACAAAGACAACAGTAGACCGGTTGCCCACCAGCCCAGTCGTGTAGTTCCACTGGTCCTCCCTCCTCCACGGGTCCAATGTTGCGATGACGTCCAAGATCTGAGTAGTGTTGCTGCCGATTGTGGTGCTCGTAGGAGCGCCAGTCACGGAGCCCATAGCCTCAGGGAACCAACCCGTCAACCATAGGGAGGCATTGTGTCCGGGAGCAAAGTAACCCAGCTCCAAAGCAGCGAGACGTTCCTCTACGGAGTACGTATAGTTGCTCGCAATGTTGGCCGTAGCTGCGATGGTGGCGTTGGTGTTGATGCCGGTGTTGATGCACGCCAAGACGATCGAAGGCACCTTTTCCGGGTAGGCGGCGGCCATGTTCTTCGCCATACGTTGTCCGGCGGCATGGCCGAGTACCACAGCCTTTCCGTTGCCAAAGGTATCAATGACCGAGACGAGGTCAGCGCCTACCTCGGCCCAAGTGGTAACGATGGGGCCGGTAGATTCGCCCATGCCTCGGGGTTGAGGACGCAAGACGCGGTAGCCCGCGTCAGCGAGGGCGGTCGAAAACTCGTGGAAATCGTCTATGCTGTCCCGGGCATAAGAAGGCCAGACAAGCAGTGACGGGCCATCTCCCTCGACGAGGACCTGGATGGTGTTGTTTGATGATCCAGTGAGGTATTTTGTGGTGTATCCGGCGGATGCCAGGCCCAGCAGAGCGGAGGAAGCAAGAAGAGTATTGATATACATCGTGATACAGCCTCCTTTTTCTTTCAGACAAGCTTATAAGATTCGACTTTTGAACGAATGACAGAATCTTTGCCGAATGTACGGCTATAGTCAAGAGAATGTTGAGTGACTGATGAATGATGTGGTGCAGGAGGTTCTGCAGCGGACGATCAGAGGCATGATATATACAGAAACAGAATCCATAGTGCTGCCTCCCACTTCACCGGGAGTTGAAAAGCTTCAGTCGGGACCCCTGAGCTTTCTTACGACTATTATCCGTTCTGCACCGCAAATCCCACAGATTAGAGTTTGCAGACTTCTTGGCATTTAAACATGGTGGCGGTACTACCGATCTGTGCGACGTCGGCATCTTGAATGCGTAGCTCCTGAAAAAACGAAAACCTCCTTAATCTACCAAAGATCGTGTCTTCTCGGACATGCCATAATTACGCAGTAAGTGGCTTACACCGAGTGGTACATGTTAGTTTCGAATGCTTCATTATCGGGTTCGAAAGGTTCGGTAACGTCACCACAACTTAACTTCATATCGCAATTCCCCGAATCACTCTGAAGTAGTTTCAATTGATACTTATTCTGAAGCTAGTAGCAAGCGATAGTATCGAAGGAGCCCGAAGCTGACAATTTTCATTGATATATCGGCAAATGCATCCCAAAGACGTTCTCAACGAATAACTCACAACTATGAAGGCTGCATTTGGGGATCGAAAACACTCAAAACTCCGTCAACTTATGAATAGCGATTGAAAGGTCAGCAGCCAGTTCATCCCAGCATATCAAGTACTCTAGTCATCAAAAGCCCGGCCGCCAAGACCTGAGAAGCCGGTATAGCGCCCCTTTCCGTTCAATTATTCTCCCACATACCGGGACGGAATTGATTGAGTTTCTCTATGCATTCATTTCGAGCATGGCCATTGCGGCGGGCGGCCGGTAGGCCACGCCATCCCGCGGAGGTTTAAACTTCAAATACACGTATTTGCCCCGTGCCGCCCGGAGACACGAGTCGTGCTCTCAACGGACAGTATATAAAACACTGCTCGTATGCTGTCAGTAACACCGCTAAGTTAGGAATGCGGACAGAAAGGAATTTTCGAGGTCGGATCACTGGCAATGGCTGACATACAGTTAGCACTCGCCTCTCTCAGCTCAGGTCCTTGATTCCGAGCCGAATAAGATTATAAGTCTCATGGTTTCTCTTCATTGAGAGTGTTGATAAACTTTTGACACTAATTCATTTGATGTACAACAACTCTTCATTTTTATTTCAACATCTCGTTTAGTTGTCGTTTGGTGGTTTAGTACTTGACTGAAATTCTAAACTGATGAAGACAAGCAGTATGAGCGTCTAAGGAAGTCAAATTTGCCGCTTTTGAATCATCATCCAGTAATAGGTTTAAGACTCACACCTCTACAGTCTAGAAGGGGGGGGGGGGGGGGGGGTTCGATGCAATAAATGTGTTGACGGTAGTAAAGGTGGACTGGGAAGTTGGCATGAGCATCACTTCCACCCACTGCACTTATCTTTCACTAGGAAGGAATCGATGGGCTCCACCCATTTCTCCTTCCTTCCAAAAGCCGACGCACTACCAATGAAAAGGTTACTAAGTTTCGTACAGATCGAAAGTTTGCCCTAATGATGTCTATAATTACAAAGTCCTATCATCAGAGGAGTATGAATTCCGGAAGCGAGCGTGCTCCAGCTTCATAGACATCGCAGTGATTAAACATCCATGGCTCGAGAAATCCTACTATAATTGAAGTCTTCCGAACAGGCAAACTTCCAAAGTTCTAGGTGCAGGAAACCTCGAGCCTGGGCTACGTCTTCGATTTAGATACGTTGATTACCTTACCTTGCTAAGAATACTTTGCTTGTAGAGTTGAATGTGCGAGCACGTGGTACAGCCGCAGGACAAGGGTGTCATCTACTAACAAAGATCGAGCATTATTCATTCGCATGGTTTGATAGTGGTACATGACTTTGATAATACATTTGAATGTTCGTACACGTAAATCTATGGTCCCCCCATCTATGGCCGACCGGCCCGATCCCAGAAGCCAGTAGCTGTAGAAGCCTCGGCAGCTCGATATTACTCCCAACACCGAAGCGCCCGCTGTAGAATCCCAAGTTCCAATCGAACAATTCGTGTCTGTTTTCTTTCCCTTTCTCTCATTCAAGCCAATTCTTGTTCCCTCCGCGCTTTAGCAATCGCGCGCTTCCCCAGCCGCGTGAGCTCCGCAACGAAATCGTCCACGATCTTGACGTGGGCGACCTCGTTCGGCGTCAGGTGGCGATTCCGCATGCTCTCGACGAGTTTCGGAACCGAGTTGAAGAGCTCGATGTCTTCTTCGGATTGGGGATTCAGGGGTTGCAGGAGGAGATTGCAAAATATTGTGAGGATTGCTGACATGGGGTAGAATACCACCATCCTGGGCGCGTCCGGTGTTAGCAAACAAGGTTGGACTTTCCACGGGAGCCTTCAGGCTTCAGTCCAGGGTAGACAACTCACCAGAATGCCACTTGTTCCACGCCATGGATGGCTGCTTTGAGGAAGTAGAGAGTAGATCGGCTGGCCTGTACGGAGAGGGCCTGACTCGAACTGACGCCCTCCAACCCACTGCCTTCGCCGCTTGCCCAACAGCGACATCTCCCACTTGCTCGGTGTATCATTGCCATCAAGTAATGATACTCGAAGTGCAGAATTATCTCCTCCATACCTAGCCGTCCCTTCCTCACGACCGCCGTGCCCCGAGGGAAGGTCAACGTCGGCCTATAGGACAGTGGAACCGACGTCCGCCATCGTTCCAGCTCATCATCGAGTTCGCGGATATCCCTAAGCAGTTCTGCGTCGCCCTTCTTTAGGGCCGACTGCGAGTACAATCTCGTTGAGATCTGAGATTTGATAATCGTCAACTGCAGGGAGTCGGGTGCGAGAGCCGACGTGATTGTTGCCTCGTCGAGAAAGGACGGTGAGCCGCCCGTGAGGTCATCTATACTCCGGATCCACCAATCCATCTTTGGCAAAGTCAGGTCGCAATGTTCATCATGGATGCTGGGAGGTTGCCCTGTTCGGAGGGATATATCCTTATCGAGCTTGAAGGACAACCAGAAAAGTCTGCGTAATTGATTCCTCACTCGTGAGGTGTGGTCGTCCTCGGCTTGGGGCGTCTGGCATGGAGTTGGACGGCTTGATCCGGGCTCGAGGTGTCCGCCAAGCATGAATAACACTCGACATGTGGCGGACTGGAACATGGCACCTTGTTGCAGATGGCCGCAGAAGAGGTGGTACATGCCCTATGATAAGAAATGTCAGCAAGGTTCTGAGTTGCAGTTGCGACGAAACATAGTGCTGACCAGCATGAAGACTGTCTCGAGAGCAGTGATGTTGGTACCCTGCAGAATGACTGCTACCAGTCTCTGGGCGGCGCCGGCACATGCCTCACCATCAATCTCGGGTGTAGAGTTCCATTCTCCCTGAAAGAGGGAAACTACAGCGAAGAAGGCAAAGACACATGCCTTTGCCGTCACGGACTCGAGAGATGGGCTACCGTCAGCTTGCTCATAGGCCAGCTCGATTGTCTCTTGGAAGAGGACGAAGTCGATTACTGGAAACGATAAGCCGAACTGGGATGCTCGGAAGAGAGCGAGATACTCTTCAACAACTGTCTTATCGGGCAGCTCTCCACTAGCGTTCCCTTCTGGGAAGTCTATGAAGATTGGGACTGGGTGTTGTGTCTGCCATAGAGGACCCATTCCAAATAGGTTTTGGAACGAGGCATCCTCTCCAGCCCGAGAGCGAATCCACTCTTGGCCGTCGGCAGAAAAGAAAGGGATGCCATTGTAGGAGCTGACATCGCCCAGATAGTAACCGGCAAAGTGCAGCTTCCCCACGGTTGCACCGGAAGCAGCCCGGGCTGATGAGTCATAAGATCGGCCTTGGGTTGTGTCCGGATTACCGTCGGCGGCCGGCGGATCCGGGCCAACAGTTGACATGGGCGCCGAGGATGACGATGGGGAGGCAGTGGATTCGTCCCGCGGCCCTCCCCCCTCCACCCCTGCATCTTGGTTCCGCCGAGCCGCCTCCAAGGCCTTCTCAATACGGTTGAGGCGTTCAACTAGGTCTTTTTCTGATCCCGCCCTGCACAGGTCGTAAATCTTTTTGTCAGTCTTGGCTGCTTTCCCATCGCACACATTACTCAACTTTCCCGAACGGGTGGGTACCTTTCAGGGGTGATCCACGGGAACGGAGACGGGGGATCGGAGGGGCGGAGACTCTCTCTTTCTCTCACCTCGCTGTAGCCACACGCTTCTTCACCTTGGTGGCCCGGTTGAACGTGCAAGCCATTCCATGGTGCTTACACCAGTTGCATTGTGGGACTGCTCCATCACACTGAATCTATCAAAGTTGGAGAAAAACACAAAAGATCAGCATTATGTATGCGGTGTAAGACAACAACCCTTCTCCAACTCAACCTGAAGACGGGCCGGAAATCATACCTTTCGCCTGTGACAGGAATCACACGCTCTCTTCCTCATGTTGGCCTCTGATTCGACGAGAGGCCGCCGCTCAACGCGGCACGCAGCTCTTTCCAAGGAGGGAATAGAACAATTGAAAGAAAAACAGAATCAGCCGCGTCGGGAAGATAGCCGAGTTGGCAGCTCATGCGTCTCTCACGCCAAAATGATGGAGGAATTGGCTGACACTGGGCTGTCGTTCCCGCCTTTGGTTGATGTATCGGAATCTCCGCTGACTCAGCGGCATCTTGCCCTCCATGACTAAGCGGCGAAGATAAAAAGCGGATAAACCTTAAATGTTTCTCCGTGTTTGATTGGTTCTGAACATCAAACCTTGACCTAAAACTTCAGGCGACTCCACCGTCATCTCCAACGCTAACGCCCGTGCCCGGCGCTTCGACACACGCCGCGCCGACCACGTCGGGGATTTGACACCATCCACACCGGTCCAAGCTTGCACCGTGGCACCCCCATTATCTCCAAGGACATTTCGCTTTTGACGAACTCGCCGCTGAGTCAGCGGTCAAGATCTAATCAATGACACGTTTGGTCCGATCTTAGACACCAGATTATGAGGCTCTCGGAGACTATTCTAGGGATGGACCCAGTCTGCCGGCTCTGGGCCCAGCTCTGGCCCATGGCATCCCGCACACCTCGGACAGGGTCCAACGCCGAAGGAGCCACATGCCACGACGTTAGTTGACGTGAATTGCAGGGTTCGTCCAACAAACAATTTTGTTTTTTCATCCTCTTATCAAGTCACAGGTGGGACGAAAACCACATTATTCAGCGGGCCAAGCACCCAGAGACCGTGTTACCACGCAGACTGCGCGCACTTTCGGACTATAGCATGGGGTTCCAGAAGCTTTTTCATCCGCACATCTCGTCATCATGGACGGGATGATGGGGTACCTGGGACGCCTAAGACGCCTTGTTGCCAATGACCAATGGCCACTATGACCTGTCTGTCTACCACCATCTCTCCGCAGGGCCCGATGGCGGGTCCGTATTATACGATCAAGGGGGTTGCACAGAGATCTCAGGTCGTAATGAATCGGCATCCCGTCAGTCCCCTTGAAGCCGAAACCGACTTGACTTTCAAGTCCGGCCGGAGCTAAGGGGCAAATGGGGATAACAAAACCAAGTCGACAACAAATAAGTGGCCCGGCACCCGGGATATACATACTCACTATAAGCTTCTGTCACAACCTTCTTCTTCTTGTCACTGTCTTCTCTCCTTAATGGTGACCTTTCACACCTGACACCAAAAAGAGATACCATCAAAGCTCTTCGTCAACACGTGGCAGGCATCATGGAGTCCGATGGCACGCTGGGAGGCGGCTCAAACTACGAGCAGTCTCTCGAACTTAGCAACATCCCCGACGATACCACCTGGGCCCTCAAACACAAGGTCGAAGCAGTTCGACAAAGAGATGAACGCTCAGGATTCCCCGCCCGCGAGCTGGGCGTGACATGGAAGAACCTCACGGTCCAGGCCGTCAGCGCCGATGCGTCGCTTCACGAGAACGTCATTTCCCAGTTCAACATTCCCAAACTCGTCAAGGAGTCTCGCCACAAGCCTCCTCTGAAGACCATTTTGGATAACACACACGGCTGTGTCAAGCCCGGCGAGATGCTTCTGGTCCTCGGCCGCCCAGGATCAGGATGCACGACGTTGCTCAACATGTTGGCGAACCACCGCCGAGGATACACTTCAGTCACGGGCGATGTCCACTACGGCTCCATGCCCGCAGAGGAAGCACAGCAATATAGGGGACAAATCGTCATGAACACTGAGGAGGAACTCTTCTTCCCAACTCTGACCGTGGGCCAGACCATGGACTTTGCAACTCGCCTCAAGATCCCTTTCAACCTTCCCGAAGGGGTTGCCTCCAACGAGGAGCTGCGTCAGGAGAACCGAGATTTCCTGCTGGAGTCTATGGGAATCCAGCACACATTCGACACCAAGGTCGGAAACGAATTCGTGCGAGGTGAGTAGCTCAAACTATTGACAACTCTGAGGGAACCTCGACTGACTCTTCACAGGTGTGTCCGGAGGAGAGCGGAAGCGTGTGTCCATCATTGAGTGTATGGCGACGAGAGGATCAGTCTTCTGCTGGGATAACAGTACCCGTGGCTTGGACGCCAGCACGTAAGTCTCTACCAAACTCTCTCGTATCCAAGATTCTTCAGAGGTAGGCTTCGAGAGAGCAACGATCATGTACGCTGACCATCTTCCTAGGGCCCTCGAATATACCAAGGCGGTCCGTGCCATGACCGACGTCCTCGGTCTCGCATCCATCGTCACCCTTTACCAAGCAGGCAACGGCATCTACAACCTCTTCGACAAGGTTCTCGTCCTCGACAACGGCAAGGAGATGTACTACGGGCCCATGAAGGAGGCCAGACCCTTCATGGAGCAGCTTGGTTTCATCTGCTCCGACGGCGCCAACGTCGCTGATTTCCTCACCGGTGTCACCGTTCCTACGGAAAGAGCAATCCAACCAGGAAAGGAAAAGACCTTCCCTCGCACAGCTGAAGCTCTGAGAACCGCGTACGAAAAGTCAGACATCTATCCCCGGATGATTGCCGAATACGACTTCCCAACCCTGGAGGAGACCAAGGAGAAAACGAGACTATTCCAACAAGGCGTCGCAGGCGAGAAGCACAAGCAGCTTCCGGCCAACAGCGCTCTCACGACAAGTTTCTATACCCAGGTCAGGGCCTGCATCACCAGACAATACCAAATTCTCTGGGGTGACAAAGCGACTTTCATCATCACGCAGGTGTCCACCTTGGCTCAAGCTCTCATCGCCGGTTCCCTCTTCTACCAGGCTCCCAACACATCTGGCGGTCTCTTCCTCAAGGGCGGTGCCCTCTTCTTCGCTCTCCTCTTCAACAGTCTGCTGTCCATGTCCGAAGTCACCAACTCCTTCACCGGTCGTCCTGTCTTGATCAAGCATAAGTCCTTCGCATACTACCACCCTGCCGCTTTCTGTATTGCGCAGATTGCCGCTGACATCCCGGTTATCCTGTTCCAAATTTCGGTCTTCTCCATTGTGCTCTATTTCATGGTCGGACTGAAGACGTCGGCTGCGGCGTTCTTCACCTTCTGGGTTGTCGTTGTGGCAACCACCATGGTATGAAGCGCCCCGTTCTTCCTTTTTTCTCTTAAACTTCTCACTGACTCAACTTAGTGTATGACTGCCATGTTCCGCTCCATCGGTGCCGGCTTCACGACCTTCGATGGCGCGTCAAAGGCCTCAGGTTTCATGGTCACTGCGTTGATCATGTATTGTGGTTACATGATTCAGAAGTCCCAGATGCATCCGTGGTTCGTCTGGATCTTCTGGATCAACCCTCTGGCATATGCCTTCGATTCCCTCATGTCGACCGAGTTCTACGGACAATTGATTCCCTGTGTCGGACCCAACCTGGTTCCGAACGGCCCAGGATATACCGACTCTGCTCATCAGTCGTGCGCCGGTGTTGCCGGCGCCATTCAGGGTTCAACCACCCTCACCGGCGACCAGTACCTTTCTGCCCTGTCCTACAGCCACAGCCACGTCTGGAGAAACTTCGGCATCGTCTGGGCCTGGTGGGTTCTCTTCGTCGTCCTCACCATCGTCTCCACCTCGAGATGGCGCTCTTCCGCCGAGGGCGGAGCATCTCTGCTAATCCCCCGAGAGAACGCCCACATCACCAAGGCCATCCGCGACGACGAGGAAGCCCAGTCATCCGAGGAGACTGCCGCTGAGAACGGCAAGAGCGACAACGAGAAGCAGGACAGTAGCAGCAATGACGACAACCTCGTCCGTAACACCTCCATCTTCACCTGGAAGAACCTTACCTACACCGTCAAGACCCCCTCTGGAGACCGCGTTCTTTTGGACAATGTCCAGGGATGGGTCAAGCCCGGTATGCTCGGCGCTTTGATGGGCTCCTCCGGTGCCGGAAAGACGACGCTTCTCGATGTCCTGGCCCAGCGCAAGACTGACGGTACCATCCACGGATCCATCATGGTCGATGGTCGCGAACTTCCCATGTCCTTCCAGCGCTCTGCTGGATACTGCGAGCAGCTCGACGTCCACGAGGCTTACGCCACTGTCCGTGAGGCCTTGGAGTTCTCTGCCCTGCTCAGACAAAGCCGCGACACTCCGCGCGCCGAGAAGCTCGCCTACGTCGACACCATCATCAACCTCTTGGAACTTCACGACCTCGCAGATACCCTCATCGGAACCACTGGGAACGGCCTGTCCGTCGAACAGCGAAAGCGCGTCACTATTGGCGTCGAACTCGTCTCGAAGCCCAGCATTCTCATCTTCCTCGACGAGCCCACTTCCGGATTGGACGGCCAGTCCGCCTTCAACACCGTCCGCTTCCTCCGCAAGCTCGCCGATGTAGGCCAGGCTGTCCTCGTGACCATCCACCAGCCATCCGCCCAGCTCTTCTCCCAGTTCGACACCCTTCTTCTGCTCGCAAAGGGCGGCAAGACTGTCTACTTTGGCGACATTGGCGACAACGCAAAGACCATCCGCGACTACTTTGGCCGCTATGGTGCCCCCTGCCCCGAGGAAGCCAACCCGGCCGAGCACATGATTGACGTCGTATCGGGCCACCTCTCCAAGGGCAAGGACTGGAATGAAGTCTGGCTCGCCTCGCCCGAGCACGAGAATGTCACAAAGGAACTTGACCACATGATCCAGGACGCCGCTTCCAAACCCCCTGGCACCGTCGACGACGGCCACGAGTTCGCGCTCGCCATCTGGGACCAGATCAAGATCGTCACCCACCGCATGAACGTCTCCCTGTACCGCAACGTCGACTACATCAACAACAAGTTCGCGCTGCACATCTTCTCCGCCCTCTTCAACGGCTTCTCCTTCTGGATGATCGGCGACTCGGTTGGCGACATCCAGATGCGTCTCTTCACAATCTTCAACTTCATCTTCGTCGCCCCCGGTGTGCTCGCCCAGGTCCAGCCCCTCTTCATCGACCGCCGCGACATTTTCGAGACCCGCGAGAAGAAGTCCAAGATGTACTCCTGGATCGCCTTCGTTACCGGCTCCATCGTCTCTGAGGTCCCCTACCTCATCATCTGCGCCGTCCTCTATTTCGTCTGCTGGTACTACACCGTCGGCTTCCCCGGCGACTCATCCCGCGCCGGCTCCACCTTCTTCGTCATGCTCATGTACGAGTTCGTCTACACGGGTATCGGCCAATTCATCGCCGCCTACGCCCCCAACGCCGTCTTCGCCTCCCTCGTCAACCCGCTCATCATCGGTATCCTCGTCTCCTTCTGCGGTGTCCTCGTGCCCTACTCCCAGCTCCAGACCTTCTGGAAGTACTGGATGTACTGGCTCAACCCGTTCAACTACCTCATGGGCAGCATGCTCGTCTTCGACATTTGGGGCACAAAGGTCGAATGCAAGAGCAAGGAGTTTGCCCTCTTTGACCCGGTCAATGGCACAACGTGCGCCGAGTACCTGGCAGACTATATGCAGGGCATGGGCTCCAGCAGCAACCTCATCAACCCGGAAGCCACGTCCGGCTGCAGAGTGTGCCAGTACCGCGACGGCAGCGATTACTTGAGGACGATCAACCTGATGGAGTACTACTACGGCTGGCGCGATGCAGCCATTGTTGTCATCTTCGCCATCAGCTCGTATGCCCTGGTGTACCTCCTCATGAAGCTCCGAACCAAGACCTCCAAGAAGGCCGAGTAAACCCCCTCCGCCTCCTCTTTGGCTCTCGAACTTTCATCATCTCTCTCTCACAATATCTCACTATCTCACGCATCTCTCTCTCTCTCTCTCTCTCTTATATCACGTTACGCTAGATACCTCGTACGCAGCTGCAGCATCTTAGATTGCACCACTCTCGCGGATAGATCTCGGGATAAAGCAATAGGTGGTCCCCCTGTGTATTTTGTCAATCGTATGCATCTCAGCCAATGCATCAACTTTCTTCTCTCTCATCTATCTAGGGCCGGAGTAGATCTCATCAATGGGATGGTTCATTATTGGGTAAATTTAATAGACATCACGGTCAAATAGAATGGGACAAATCATTGTCAATCATATCAAATCATTGTCTAAATCATCCGAGCCTCAAAAAGTTCCCATATCATCATGCATTGACCCATCGTTCAGAGACTACTAAATGAAAGTGATTACTGCACAGTGAAAAGGCCGTTTAGGGTCAACTCATCAAATTTGCTTCATTGAAATTCAGTACGCGTAGGGGGCTTCGCCGGCCCCACCTTTCCGAAACGGGCGTGGGGACCTTCACCACACCGCCAACGACATCAAGACACCTCACTCACACACGGACGTCAAGACCAAAACTCTTGACAGTTCTCAAACCTTGCCTCATATTTTCATCACTCTCCCAAAATCCTCCGAATCAGCAAAAATGCCTCTTAAAGGAATCTCTCCCGTCATCTCCCCCGACCTCCTCAAGGTCCTAGCCGAGATGGGCCACGGCGACGAAATCGTCCTCGCCGACGCCCACTTCCCCTCCCACTCGATCTGCCCGCCTCACATCCCCGTCCTCAGGGCCGACGGTAAGTCTCCATGATCCATTTGAATCATTTCAAACCTACGTCAATTGTAAGGATTCTCACGACGAGTCAAGGCATCACCGTCTCACGCCTGCTGGCCGGCATCTCCCCACTCCTCGAGCTGGACAACTACGGCGTCGTGCCCGTCATCATGATGGAGGTCGTCAAGGGCGACACCTTTGACGCGAGCGTTGAGTCCGACTTTAGGTCGTCGCTCAAGTACGACGGTGAGATTGAGAAGCTGGAGAGGTTTGCTTTCTACGAGCGGTCCAAGAAGGCGTTTGCCATTGTGGCGACAGGGGAGACCAGGAAGTACGGCAACATTATCCTCAAGAAGGGCGTCACTCCCATCACTGAATAGACTTGTGGATAAGTAATGACTCGATCAATGAAGCAGATACACTTGGCAGTTCAAATGATACCCATCACCACAATTGCATTGACTCCAAGCCAGGAGCTGGAAACAGGGTAGTCAGAGAAACCCGCGAATGCCAAAAAACGAGCGTCCAATTGTGCTAAGTATACTTACGCTCTAGGCATGCTAAGTAAGTATGCTCGGGCCGTGAAAAGAAGGTAAATAATGATAAAGGCCCCCAAAACGCTGGTTCCAAGACGGATATTTATATTGAAGCCCCCCACCTGGACCGAGGCCCTCAGCTCGAGGCCCTCCTAGACCTTGCGAGCCGCCCAGGCCAGAAGGTCCCCCAGCCCCCCCGAGCCAGTTTGGCTCCCCCCCGCCGCCGCCCCGCCCACTGCACTCGATCCGTGCCTAAGTTGCAATTGTCAGTTTGGAGCCGAAGGTGTGCAGGGCACTAGGCAATACTTACTGTTGGGCCGGCGAGGGGGACTGGCCCGGTTGGATAGAGGCCGGGTTCCCTCCTTCTTCGGCCCGGACGACCGCTCGGACTGCCTCGGCTTCGGCCCGGGAAGGGCTTCTCGCTAAGTTTAAATCAAGACGAATAAGATCGAAGGGATGTCTAGGAATAACCTTTAGTACCAAGTTGAATACCCAGACGACAGCGGAGAAAGGCAACGAGGGCAGAGATGAGGACCTACTCCATGGTAAATGATGGGGGATGGTGATAGATTTTGGAGATGGCGTAGATGGCGGAGATGGCGATAGTGAATGTTTGTGGAGCGAATGTTGGTAGCGAGTGTTGTTGGTTATTGATGGTAACGATTGGAATAACCAAAAAAAGAAGCGAGTGTGTGTGATGAGTATGCTTGAAGAAGAGAAGAAGAAGAAGAGGAATGGGAGAACGGGGGATGGTGTCTATATAAACCCTTCTTGACCAAAGCATTCGTCTCGTCGGCACCTTCAGTCTGCACCTCTCTGGAGGCATTTCAGAGCCGCAAAGGTACAGGACCGTCTGCATTTACACCTTCCTTTCTATCAAGGTAAGGGACCTCACAGCCTCATTGCACCGTGCATCCTTTCTCCGTTGGGCCTACCCTGTCTCTATCTTCGTATAAAATGGAAGCAGCCCCTTCATGCATTGACTTACACCCATCTCATTCTTCACTCTTGCCAATATACCACCCAGCAATACATCATAGTTGCAGCAGTAGCCCAGCTTGTCCCTGCATCGACCCCGACCTCAAAGCACAATCTGAGAGTACGACCTAGAGGCCAATATTAGAGGAAAGACTTTGTCAACATGTCTCGTCCCTGCACTTCAGCAGACGCCAGGCACGCCACCGGCCAGCCTCCTTCTTACGATACGGTTCAGCAGCAGCAAGACCGACAGTTCCAAAACTTCGACTCGAAAGAGTGGGAATGCGTGCCCAAGAACCTCAGCATCATCTACTCCCCTGTCCCTATCGGAGCAGGTGCCAATGTTAGCAGGAGAGGAATCAGCTGGGAAGCCAGATTTCGAGTAAGAGCCAAAGATCTCCCCCGCCTCATGAGAGAGGGCTTCCACTGGACAGTCGCCAACATCCATCGAGAGGCCGGTTACTTTGAATATGAAGCCAAGGAGCCTGTCATGAAAGAAGCTGGCTGGACCTGTACACGCAATTACTACCTCTCCGATCTAGGTCCCGACCAGAACTGGACCGCCAAGATGACGGTTTGCGCTCGGGACCTACAGACTCTTGCGCGGTTTGACATGGCCAAACTTCGGCCTGAGCAAGCTTACACCGCCCTCGCGTGGACCAACGTCCAGCAAGGCCAGCACATCTACAACTTTGAACGTCTAGCTCCCTGTAGGAATTTCAATGCGATTTACGACGACATGCCGCTGGAAGGATGGTGGCCGTGGCCGAAGAGACAACCCGGCGTTGACGACAAGCCCGAAGCAGATACAAAGAGCTCATAGGAAGGGACTAGGCGTGATATTAGAACGTCCTCCCTCTACACTGACACGAGGACATGATGCGCACCAAGAATGAACAGGAGTCAACGAAGACTCGTAGTGTTGAGATATCCACCACACCGGACAGGCTAGCCCATACACGAATCATGCTTCGCCAAGGAGAGCGCGGCCGTCACAGCTGCTGGGCACCAGCGCCACTGGGTTCGTTGTGAATGCCCGTATCACAGGAGAAGGGCGTGGCCCAAAGGGCCACAGTGGATATGTTGCATCCCTTGGATAACAGTAGGCGCGCAGTAGGAGAAGTAAAGATTGCCTCGAATTCTGTTGGTATATTGGTGGCAGGAAAGGGGATTCTGAAGTTCGTTTGGCGCTGAGGCTGCATTTGATATTGCAATGCCCATCAGGGAGATCGCGTGTAGGGGTGGGAGAGACAAAACGGCCAAAACAACAAAATTGCAAAAACAACAATGAGCCGACCGATCGAGGAATCGAACTTGGATCCCGAAATAGACAGGAGTCTTCACTGCCTAACCGGGACCTCTGCAGTCCGATTAACCCCTCGACCATACGGCCCAGATACTTGTTGTTACGATCTGGTGATGATTCATCGGCTATGGAGCCTCGCAGGCGGGCTGGTAGTGTTCTCAGGATGCTTCCTTCCTCAGGCTGAAGGCATAGAATAAACACTTACCCGAATTGTGCATGAGACACAACTAGATATTGAAATTGAATAATCCGTGGCATTCGAGTGAGACGCTTTCCCATCCAAAAGGTCCCATATCCTCATCGGCTTCTATGTGCCGGTCTTTCCTTCCGTGCCACGTCCCCTTATCCTACCTCTTTCCCAAGAAAAGTGCCTCAAGCACCTAACTCCGGCCATCAAAGTCATACCGGGCAAGCACCGGCCCGCTTTGATAGTAGGTTCCGTCAAGACTGGAGCAGGAGCATGGATGAACTGCAATTTCCCGACCTACACCAACGCGCACTCCTGCCATGCGGTTGATTGTCCCATTGATTCGTGGCAATCCTCCCTTCTCAACACACCTTCCCAATGACAAAGTGACGAGCCCTCAGGATCCCGCATCAGGGACATTGGGAAACTTAGGTAGGAGCCCGATCTGCGAACACTCCCCGGACATGGAAGCCCAGCAACGTGAGAATCAAGTGACGATGGTTGATTATCCAGCACGACATGGATTTCATCGCCTAGTCCTCGTGAATCATTGCATTCAATCTCCACCTTGATAAAGCCGCAAATGATAGAAAAATCAGCGTGTACCCTGGATTTGTAAACGCAGCACAGATACATCTTGCTGGCGTTCAGAGCTACGGGAGTCTCATCAATCCCGGCTGCGCTACAGCTCGACACAGTATTCCAAAGGTCCATATCTGTTGACGACACTACGTAGTGACAGACAGTCCGATCAGGGTCTTGGTCCATGATGAACCCAGTCCAACCGTTAGGCTTCCTCGTGTCCTGTTCTGGACGTTCTTATTCCGCGTTGAATTTTTGCTTGATAACACGGTCTTCGGAGGAGCGCTCGGTTCAAGGTATATAATTAGAGCAGAAACAGTTTGGGAATGCTGAAAGACTGTTTATCCCACACCTGATCACATTTCAGAAAAAACATACGTGTTCAAACATCCGCTCATCTTAGGATTGTTACTTAATAGCAAGAACGCTGTGAACATTGTTCTTGGCGTTTAGGTAGTACTGAATATCACCATTCGTTCTTTGGTACCTGCGCCATGACCAAAATACCTTCATACGGATATCCAGCTCGCCTTCTCGATACAGCCTCATCTCCAGGAACTTCTTCGTTGGTACGTTCGTATCCATCGAAGGAGCCGCAAACCAGATTCAGGCCGCAGCCGAACTACCCGTTCAAACCCCCAATTAAGCTCAAGGGGTGGCCAGCCATTGCCGCCAAGTCACACAAGCGGAAGGTCCAACGGCTGGCGCCTCAATGGTTCAAATGGCTGCCCTCGGTTCAATGCACGATTGTGGTGCAATCTGCCCAATAACAACTGATTCAAATAAGCCCCAAATCTAGGGTCCTCAGGTTTGTTCGTAGATGGGATCAAATGAGAGACACAGACGCATGTGGCGTGCTTGGCCCTCGGAGGAAGTGGATCAAGCATAAGACACGGGTTCGGCGACACTCGACTCATGCCGTATTTATAGGTAGCCTGGTCTAAAGGTCGACCAAAGCATGTTGGTTGGATCAAGACGGGACTCGAGGAAATGTTTGCTCGCAGAGATGCCTTTCACGAAACTGCAGGATGAGGCGTAAAGCCAAAGGTCTAGTACCTATGCATCCCGTAAGCTCCGTGAGACAACGTCGCAGTAAGCTCGAGAGGTTCCACCGAACAGGCGCAGTCGCAGAGCTCCAGTGATCCATCGCCAAGCTGCTTCCTTGCCACAGTGGACACTGGAACACGTTTTTACTGCGCAGGCCAACCAGCGACCCGCTGCCGTCTGAAGAGAGTTGTGTTTTGTGGATGGCGAGGGGAAAATCTGGGGAGTAAGTGTCAAGTACGTAAAAGAAACTGAGGTTAACTGGTATGCGGACCGGCGATTCAGTTTCCATCTCGTGTGCGATTCCACTTCCCCGGAGCCAAAAGGACGTTTGACAATCGTGGCGTGCTTTTTCTCTCCTTGCGCGGTGGTGTGTTCCTGGACACGCTATTAGTCACAACAACTCCCCCGCATCTCAGTCTCTGGGCAAACTCGAATTCGAAAAGCAGTGACAGGCTACAGAAGGTCCTCTGCCACCAACTTGGGTAATTAGTTGTGAGCCAAGAAGATGGTCGCTGTTGAAAGCTCGCTTGGATCGCCAATCGCAAGCTGACTGGGCGACTGGGCAAAGTACCCGTCAATATGGTATGGCCAAGGTACCGTGATTCCATGGCTTTGCTCGGCGCATCCAATCGAGGCTGCACACCAAGACGATCGAAAGCCTTTGCTCTGGGTCAAGCTTTGGGCCCTGAGATGCCATGAAATGCCATGAGATGCCAAACTCTTGGATTTTAGGGGGTCTCCAACGACATGTCTTGGAAGTCTGCGGTATCGGGCAGGATTCGCAGCATCTCAGAGTGTTCATCGTAGATACGCCTCGAAAAACCACACTTTTGCAGATTTTTCAGAACTTTTGGCGAACCATAATTGTTGGGTGATGGCTGTGTGATTTTAAGTTGGGCGACAAGAGAATGTGCCTTCCCGAAGCGTCGCTAGCCCGGGTAGATTGAGACTCTTGGCGTCAGCGGTCGTGATGGACAGAGAGAACTCAAAAGTTCGTGTGCGCAACAGACGAGACTTCAGCCAGCTCAGGTGTCTGGCATCTGGCGCATATTAGTAGGTCTTGGCTCGCGTCAATCGAAAACGCCTCATTCAAAGAATATGGCCGACAGATAGCCCGTTCCTAACCGTGATTGCCATTGATTGTCCAAATAAACCGCCGCAGTGTCGTCGCCACGGGGGAGGAATGGTGCTGATAAGCTTTGCCACCCTCCCCGGATGCGCCCCGGGCGCCTCATGTCAACGTATGCCAGATAAGGCCTCAAGAGGGCGCAAGTGCCAGCCAAGACAATTGTCGTTTGGGTCAACCTTTAGTGACATATTGAGGCAGATATCCGAAGCCACGGAACGCCAATGACATTAGGTGCAGTCGCGGGTGGGTTGGCGTGCTCGGATGACACGACGGGAGAGAAAAGATGGGCCGTTTCGACCGAATCGAGACATGTCAAGTTCAGATGTCCTGAATCGTGGCAACGAAGTGGGCGCATTGCGAACCTTCGACCAACGAGGCCATCAAGACAAAACCCGAGTGACAGAGCGAATGACGGCAGAGCCGACTCTGGTACTCCGTATCGATGGTAGATATCGTGACAAGGGATGGTGGTGGTGGGCGGGGAGCGCCAGGTTCGCCAGCGGTGCTGTCACTGTCTCTGTTTTGTTAGCAGATGCGTATGACACACGCACATCATGTACCATGTAGGATCGCCCATGAAAGACTGTTATCTTTGCCGAGACTTTATTCCCCATATTTCCCGCCAGAGGGGGGAATGTTATGTGTGTCGTAGACCAATTGCAGCACATGGTGATGCGACCCCCAGGGATGTGGACGGCTGAGGAGGAAGCATTGCGTGGGTATTCGTAGAATTGTAGGCCCTTCCTTCAAATGGCAAGCACCAAATAGCGTAGCTCGACCAGTCTGGCGGTGGGTTAGGGGTAAACAACGCGGCACAATCGAGTCGTGTCGGTCGCCCCAGACTGGTAGGCCAGGGGTCGAATCGCCAGAGTTTTGCGCAATCAATCCAAACTTTGAAGGGTGTCAAAAGCGCCCCCAAGTGGCAGTTGGAGCAGGGTGACGGGGCAGCGGCCGGAGATTGGGCGTCTTGTGTGTGACGCGATGGGAGATGGGTGGTCCGCTTCGTTTCCTGAGTGGCTCCCCCTCACAATATTACGGTTGGCTGTACGGATCCCTCGCTTTTCGAATAGGCGTATCGCATCACAAGACGGAACTCGAGGACGCAAAGGTTCGATGGTGTGGTTGGGCGGCCTGGCGGCATTCTAGAAGGATTCCTTCGCCTAGTTAGCGGCGGCCTCCCTGTCCCGCGGCGCCCGCCCCTGCGAGGCCAATGGACGCGCCGAAAGTCAATCAGCGATGAGGTGTGACGATTCCCGTCAGCTCACAGCGGATGATCGAGGGTCTGATACTGATTTAGATCCTTCTTCGTACACCGCAAGGGGATCGCACTTTGTAGAGACGCGCTGGCATGGTAGATGGCAGCAAATGCTGGGCAGCCCTGGTCACGAGGCGCTGGGCCAAGAAGCGCAAAGAGGCAGGAGAGAAGCTGGAGACCGGTGGCCGGGAACCGAGGAAGCCTAGCAGCTCCCATCGGGCTGGCAGCCAAGCCGTTACATCTGAGGATTCCTGTCGAGATTGGTTCCAATAGGATTGGATGAGATTTTGCCTTTGATACCTTGCCTGTCACGAGCTGTTAAAAGTCGGAGACTCAGGGAATGGAAGCGTACTAGGTAGGTATGCAGAGAATAGCAGTGAATGGTGACGGTCGCACTGCGAGATCCATCAATCAAGCAATAACGCCCCAGTTCTTGGTCCTTCCCAAACAGGAAGCTCGTCAGGATGGGCTTGGATCGTGAGGTACGGCCAAGAGACACCAAGCCGCACAGCCCTGTTCCAGAAGACCTTGGCTGCAGGTCGGTAGCTCCAGGAGGGAGCCACGGCCTTGGCTCGAGTAGACAAGCTCGCGTAAAGTTGAAAAGTCCTGCGTGTCAGAGACTGCGATTCTCTGAAGCCGAATTGGAAGTAAATCGGGTAGGGAAAAGGAAGAGAAGAGAAGCAGCAGGGTTCGATCCTCTGTAAGTCTGATACTCGGAGGCAGGTACAAAGATACGTACAGGTACGGATACATGTACTCCGTATACCTCGACCTACCTAGGCACAGAGGAGGTACCTATCGAGGTCTGCAGGAAGGTAGGCGGGCACTTGTTTAAGGTGAGGAAGGCATGCAGCATGCAGGCGGCAGGTCGCGCATTCCATTCTTGGGGAAGGAAGGTGTGGTGGAGTACCGTTCATCCCTTCTGTCACCACTTGTGTCCAGGACTCGTCGTCGAAACGGTGGTACGAAGTACTGTACACCAGGCTAGCTCATCTCAAATTCTTACTCCTCACTCTGAACTCTCAAAAGTCTAATAACAGTGTTTGTATCTATCACTCCACCTCGATGGATCTTGCTGGCTCACAGACAAACATTATCTATCATACGGATATCGCATGGACCATTCCTCGCCCCATCCAACTTCTCATCGCGCGGCCGTGCCCCTCCTCACTCCCGGTCTCATGGGTCGCTCACTCCCCCGCTTGGGACGGATCTCCACTGATAGCGTGTCGGTGGAGTGAGATGGGCGCCCGTAATAATTATGAGTGTGCGGCGTGCGCACTGCGTCCCCTGCTCAGTGAAACGTCCCGAGCAAGTGAGAATGAGTGCGTGAGAGTATGAGAGGAGCAGTGAGACTGAGAGTCCGGGCCAGTCAAGTCCAGGGCAAAGGCCCGGCACCGTCCCACCCCCGCGCGCCACTACCAAATCACTGTCTTCCACTTCTGCCAAATCAATTTCCATCACATGGATCCATCCGTACATTTTCCAACCTGAACATACGTAGTACAGATATCGCAACCCATCTCCAGCCGGCACCGTCCACCAGCCAATAACCCTTCTGCCAAGACTCACCATAAACCATGACCGGTTCTTCTAATCACTTGGCAAAAACCCCCCCATTTGCACCGTCTGGCATCTACGCTCCCCACCGAGCCCACCTTCTGCTCTCAGAAAGCTTACTGGTTTCTGCCAAGCCGCTGTGTTGCCTCTGATGGGACATATCCGCCGGTCGTCGACGTCTCTAGACCAAGAGACCCGAGAGAGACGCCTGCACGCTTCGTGACCCTCAGAAGCATCGAGCCACGCACCGCACCGTTGACCGAACACATCGCATCCCTCCCAGCGGCCAGTAAACAGCATGCGAACCTCCGAATCAGATCTTTTTGTCGCAGACCACTGGCCTGCTTGATGGGGCCACCTGAAATGCCGCGTCCCACAGTCTGAAGGGCAAGGCTCAAGGCTGAAGCGACAGAAGCGGTGTTTGCCTGTCTACCGAATCTGCCACGTAGAGTGACACCGATGCAGCCCTTGGACGTGAGGCGAGTTGACGACGTCGCGCTGGGCTGGATTTGTGAGATGCTTCAACGATCTCGTCCATCCCACCATCTCCGAGGCCTTGCCATCTTCGTCTTCCACGCAGCTTCCATTGCTTCCGAACACCCACATGATACCTCACATCCGCCATCCGCATCCGCATTCTCATGTACGATGGAAGTGTGCGTAGTGTGAACCTCTGCCGTGGGCTCTTCCTATCTGTGCTACACTACGTACACTACTGCTAGATGCCGGCCGTCCCCTTCACTCCCCTTGGCCTACCCTTCCTTCCCTCCCGTCTCACGGCTGACCGACCGGTCCAACTACCTGCCAAGACTGTACCGGAGAGACTCGTCTGCCTATCCGTCTAGACCTCTCATAATCTAGGTCACCTTCCTCCTACCTCCTGGCATTTTCTGCAAGCTAGCGGCGCAGCTATCATGGGTGATTTCCCGGGGAGAAGGTATCCCGGAAACGAAGACGCAGACGAAGAAGATGGAGAAGAAAAATAACAAGGGACTAACGTAAGACAGGCAAGGTGCTCTTGGCAACTTTTGTACTTCTGTAGATACTAGAGACAATGTGCTCCCTTCATCGGGAAACCATGTACAATGTTGGCAGGGTAGGGTCACGGAAGGAAGAAGAGGAGGGGGTATTGGGTCGTTCCCTCATGCCGGGGTCTCCCTGGTCTCTCTAGTCCATGTTGCAGCTTCCCATCCGTTGGATTTGCGCCGGTGAGGTGAGCGCGTCCAAGTTGGTTGGTCCCCTTCTCGTCCAGCTCCAGCTCCAGCTTCTCGCCCGAGCCGTATGCTGCACACCTCCCTCTCTGTCTGCCTCGATGTCTCTCGACGGAAGTCTCGAGGGGCTTTCCCTCACGTTTCCTTTCTGTGCAGACGTAAAGTGACCCTCCCCATCCTACCATCTGCCTTCCTGTCGTACCCCTACCCATCTCGCCAGGACGTCCTACCCATCCCACACACCTTCCCGTCTTTGGTTTGGTCCGTTTCTACACATCCAACGACTTTCCCCCGGTACCTTTACAGATACCCTACATGGTACTTTTACATGGGGCAATGCACCTGCACATGTCGTCGCTCCCGTTGTCCTCGTTGCGCCTGGTTTGTTCCTCCCCCTCTGCCTTAGCTCCCCCGTCCCCGTCTCCGTCTCCCATCCCGGGTGCTGTCTCGAACCTTTATTAAACGGCATCCCGCGCCGCCTCCCTCTCTATCTCGCCCCTTCTTGTTGTCCCTTCCACCCCTCATACTCTTGTAGTTCTTTACAGAGTAACACCAGCTTTGTTACTCTCCCGTCGTCGACAAGGGCAAAGGTCACGACAAGCGCCAACGCGCCCTACTTCTTCAATAATCAGTCTCTAGCCTCTGTCCAGAGCTGTCGAGCTTACTCTTCATCATGTCCAAGGAGGATGCCCAAGTCGGCGTGGTTCCGCCCACGTACGACTCCGAAAAGGGCGCTCGCCACACCGCCGGTGATGGCCACGTCCCCGAGAACTTTCGCGAGGATGACTTCATGACCCGCAACGGCTTGAACCTCAAGAGTTTCCAGCGCCGTGAGTACATTCCCCTTCAACCTCGTTCAAACTACTTTGCGGCCTGTCTCCAGCGGCCCAGTATCGCCTCGCCTCGCCTGGGTACCTCTTCAAGGATGGATTGCTAACACGGCATTCTTAGGTGACTGGGGAACCGGTGACACTGAGCTCGACCGCTCCATGAAGCCTCGCCACTTGCAAATGATTGCCATCGGTGGCTCCATCGGTGCTGGTTTCTTCGTCGGTTCCGGTAGTGCCCTGACCAAGGGTGGCCCGGGCTCTGTCCTCATCTGCTTCTTGATCGCCGGTGTCATGATCTTCAACGTCGTCTACGCTCTCGGTGAACTCGCTGTCCTGTACCCTGTCTCTGGTGGTTTCTACACCTACTCTATTCGCTTCCTTGATCCTTCCTGGGGTTTCGCTATGGGCTGGAATTATGTAAGTCACTTTTCACCGCACGGCGCATCGCATCGCAAAGCTCTAACATGTGGCAGGTCTTCCAATGGGTTATCGTCTTACCACTCGAACTAACAGTCTGCTCGTTTACGATACAATATTGGAACAAAGATATAAGTGTCGCAGTATGGATCACCATCTTCTGGCTCTTCATCATCTTCGTCAACGTTTTCGGAACCTTGGGCTTCGCCGAGGAAGAGTTCGTCTCCTCTGCCTTCAAGCTCTTTGCCACCGTCATCTTCATGGTCGTCGCCCTTATTCTGATCTGCGGCGGTG